TGGCCCTGGACTGGTTCCCTTGTGAACAGCCCCTCAGAGCTACAATTGTGAAACAGAGAACCGCGATGTTGGATCAGCCAGACTGGGGGGAGGTGGAAAGCAGGGACTGTGGGGGCTCCCAGAGGGTGGCAGAGACGGAGATGTCAAGTTTCACTCCCCTGCCCATGGCTGAGATTTCTACGCAATAGCAGCAGGTGTCAGGATATACTGGTTATTTGTGATTCGGGTGTTCACAGGTAGGAGAGACCAGCCCACAGAAGACAAGATCTGGTCATCTCAAGGACAGACAGGAGTGCCGTGATACGCTTACATGGCCTTGTAATTTGGACTATCCCCTGCGGCTTCTGTGACTGGCTGTTTTCAGTGTTCTTTCTGGATATTCTCTTTGTTGCAATTCACCGCCATTGGAATGGTCCACACCAAATGGTAAGAAAGCCGTGTGACCTCACAACGTGCTCCCTTGCGGCAGCTCAGACAGACGGTGCCACCAAACAGCACTAGCGTGACTAGCCCACCTTTGACCCTGACGGCGCGGACGCGGGAGTCTACGTGTTAAAGGAGGCAGTTAGTCAAAGGACTACCATTTTACCCAGAACAAGGTCCCTTCGGTAGGGGTCCCAGGCCCCAGACTGGGAACAGAGAAAGAGAGAACGCCCTTGGGCAGTGCAGTCTGATGGACCCAAGTTCAATTCCGGAAGCCACCTCCTAGCTGTGTAACCTGAGCTAAGTTCATTTCACCAAGGCTCAGTTTCCTCATAAGTAAAAATTAGAAGCTAATACCTACTTAACAAGTTATTGTGAGGACTGCATTAAATGATACATGTCATTGAGGGGCTGGGAAGGGGTACAGTGTTTAAACCCTACAACCCACAGAGAAAACATGATAGTTCAGCTCCTCCCCATCCAAAATGGACAGGAGTCCAACTTGGCCATTCAAGATCTGGGTGGCCCTGGACAATCACTTCATCTCTCCTGCCTCAACTTCCCCTTCTACTGAATTTGGAAGTGGGGACTCCAAGTCTCCTACAGTCCTCACATTCTGTGCAGTCAGAGTAATTGTTCAGAGGCCTCTTCTCAGCCTCTATTCTTACACCTTCCGGTGCGCTCTCTTACACTGTAAATCCCTTTAAATGCACGTTGCCAGAACCTCCTAGTTTCTGCCTTTCGGAGTCTGTGACATTGGCTCTGCTTTCTCCCTCCACCGTATTTGTTGCAAGTCGTCTACAGGCCATGGGCTGTGTTAGGAATGATACAAGCTTTGTCACAAAGTACATGCAAATGAGAAAATCAAGGCTCAGAATATGAAGCAATTTATCAAAGGTATGGAACTCAACGCTGGCTCTTCCCAGCTGCTCCTAATCATTACATGCTACACTACCTTTCCATCCTCTGACTCGCTCTAGTTTGAGTTCTCTCTTCTCATGGCCTTGTGCTATGCTAGCTTATCTCATAAATTACTTCGTATTAATAACTTTATGTGCTACACCAGCCAGGTGACATATGTCCATATTAACCAGGTCCCATCATCTCTGAACTCACATCCCATCATCAAGGAACTCATGATGAGATTCCCAGGCCCTTCAGGTGGGAGGTCAGGCTGAGATTCCAGACAGGCAGAGCTTCGGTACATGTTCAAATAACAGCCCTGGCCGGTTTGGCTCAGCGGTTAGAGCGTCCACCTGCAGTCTGGAGAGACGCGGGTTCGGTTCCCGCTAAGGGCATGTACCGCGGTTGCAGTTTGTCCCCGGCCCTGGTTGGTCGTGTGGGTGGCAGCCACTCGATGTGTCCCTTTCACATCGATGTTTCCCTCTCTCTCTCTTCCTCTCTCTCCCTCCCACTCTATCTGTACAAAAAATGGAAAAATGTCCTCGGGTGAGGATAAAAAAACAAAAAACAAATAAGCACATGGTCAGATAGCTACTCAGCTTCCATACGAAGCTGCCGGAAGCCACCACACCTTAGTTGAAGCCTGAAATCTACGAGCTTCCCGGCTGCCATTAGCTCACTCATAATATCAGAGACAGGTCAAGGAAAAGGGCTCAGCTCTGGGGCAAGACGACCCCCAGGTTTACTAGTTGAGTGCACTTTGGTGGATTTTTTTAGCCTCTCTGAGGTTCCTATCCCCTAGATCTTGAATAAGATAACCCAACTGAGTTTCAGGTTCCCCATCCATACATTGGGACAACACAAGCAACCTGAGGCAGATGTTGTAGAGATAAAGGAGGGTCTGGCCTGTAGCACAAACAGATTAGCTGTTGGGAGAGTAAAGGAGCTTAGGGGATGGTCAGGTTGTTTCCAACAGTCAGGGTAGTCAGGACTAGAGTAGAAAGATGGAAGTCAGTTCGAGGTTCGTTAGACTCTAAGTATCTGCCAAATCTAAGGATTCACGCTGGTTGAGAATTAGATGTGCTATTATGACATAAACTCTAGAGTGATCTGATCCTTGACTCCACACTGCTAGGCCACCTGGCAGCTGTTGCTGGAAGCACTTTTTTCAGGTGAGAGGTTCCCAACTGAGCCAATGGGTAGAGTGTGCTCACACACCATCTCTCTCCTCAGAGCTCCATGAGGTTGCCGGGGTAACTGAGCTATTCTGGGCCTTCCCTATGAGATCCCAACTCCTCTATCCATATCCCAGCAGACTCCCTTCCTTTGGCCTTACGTTCTGCACCCCGAGCTGAGACCTCTTCCTCCTGCCTCAGAAGATCGGAGAGGAAATGGGAGGAAAGGAACCGCCCGGGTACCTGGACCTCAACATTTTATTTCCTTATCATTTTATTTTCTTAGTTACGGCACATTTCCATTTATGAAGTACTTTCCCTTATAAAAATCTCTCACTGTTTACTTCTAACCTACTAAATAATCCCTCTGACCTCTTCTTGTTCTTACCCTTTAAATATCTGTTGATGGTTCATTCAGCACACTCCCCATTCAGTTATTAATGGCCCACAAAAACTTACTGGTAGCAATCATTTACTCATTAATCTGCACAACAATCCAGAAAGACAGGTAGTATTAATCCTTAGTTCTGCACAGGGAAACCAAGGGGAAAAGAGAGGTTAACTCAGTTGCCCAAGGTCAGTGGCTAAACAAGATTATAAGCAGGATCTATCTTGTCTTGTATTTCTGTGAACACTTCCCACAGTGTCGTTGGCTTTCTTTACAAATCAAAGTTGTCAGCGCAGCTAGAGCATCTCTGTGTTGAGGTCTGGTTGTCACAGAACAGCTTAAAACTGTCAAAATTCCACCCAAAATGAGTTTGCCTGCTAATAGCTCAGAAAGAAAAGTTGCTAAAATGAAGAGATAGTACTTGAAAGAAGATTTTGCAGAGGCAAAGGAGAAGGGAAGAGATGTGATTATAGACCCAGCTTCTGCCACAAGGAAACTCTGAGAAGGTCACTCAACTTCTCTGTACCTCTGAGTCATCTGTGGAAATGAGATTATGTTAAATGATATTCAAGGTATCTTGCTGTTTGAAATGAGATGACTGAATACCTATGAAACTGGCACAAAATATAAAGCTCCAATAGCCAATGCTGCTAGGGTCGGGGTAAAACTGGTGTATTCATCCACTGGCAATGACATACACAGCTACAACCCCCTGGGAGAGCAAGATGCCAAAAGACAACAAGAACCAGAAAGAATTTCATATCCTTGACTTAGACATTTAACTCATACTGCATTTTACCCTAGGAAGTAAGTCAGTGGAAGCAAAAAGACATATACAAACAAAAATGCACATTTCAGTGTTAGCTATCAGAGAAAAAACCGTTATTGATTTAAATGTTCATTTTAGAAGGCTGTTTCATTAAATAAAGGCAGAGAACAATATGCATGTCATGTTGCTATTTAAAAAGATAAATGTGAAAATTAGGCGAAATCACTTAAAATCGTACAGATACTACAAAATTAAAATAACCAAAAGTAAAAGAACAGATATGTACTCTGATGTCATCCGTATCAAATGTGGATTGATGAGCAGGAGCACAGGAGAACTCAGAACAGTTATGTTATTACGCTTATTAATCTTTAAATATTTTAACTGTTTTAATGAGTATTTTTTATCAACATATACATTTGACCAATTATTTAAAAACCTCTCAAACCCTGCTTTAATATTTTGGCCCAAATTTCTGCGTCATTTGTGTTGGCTGACATATTATTCACGACATTATTTTTCCAGAGTGATTTTTGCTCTGTACCACATAGTTCTTTAGTGTCTTTAGAGATTCTAAATTCTCAGAAATCTTGTGCTTCTTTCCCTCACCTAAAAGGGTTCCTACAAAGGTCTGTCATCTACTCCAGCTGTGAATAACCCCATGATCGCCTTCTGATGTTAATATCTGGCAACTCCTGACCCAGGAGTCAAGATGCTTCCGATAACCCTGACCTGTAGGTACCTCTAGAGTAACCATAACGTGGCCATCGCACTTTTCACAGTGCGTGGGGTGGTTTCATATTCACAGTTTTTGGAGTTTCACAGCAAGACATTTTACCTTTCCAGGGGTCTTAGGACACCCTCCCGGTTCCCTTAGGAAGCTGCTCTCAACAACGTTGTGCTAGGACCTGCCCTTCACAGGGCTTTTACATGCTCCTTCCCTCCTCAGCAATGTTCTCTTGCTAGTAGATCATTTGTACATCTTTGCTCATAATATCTGGGAAAGACTGCAGAGCCAATGAATTAAAAATACGATTCTAGGTCTCATGTGTGCCAATGAACGCCCTCATTAAAATAGAATGAGTCGAGGAGATCGGTTTCAAAGCTTTCCATCCCTTTGCTCCCGAGCGCTGAGGCCAGGCTCTGAAAGAATGCACAGTAAAATTAAATATCTAAAAATTCATCTTTAATTAACAGAATTGGATTAAAGCTAGACACCACGGCATATCATACGAGAAATGGCTGAGCTGGCTTCCAAGTGCTCTAATTCAATTAGGACGCAGTGAGTGACACTCGGACGGGAAAGGTTAATTGGGGGCGCCAGAACGCAATCATTCCTTACCTAACCAGTCATTAAACTTCTTAACCTCTGAGGGCAGTCCCAGCTCGGTGAAATCGCCTGTGTGGAGAAGGATGTCCCCATAAGGCATCTGGATACCATCTGTTCTGGAGTGTGTGTCTGAGATGCAGACAAACCGCGTGTGGCCCGCTGGTTTTGGAGTGTCATATGGGATGGGGTCGACCCTAAAGTAGACATAACAGATCCCATAACAGTTAAATGTATTAGAACCCTTGTAATTGTCATCGCACATACATATTGATTGTTATCTGTGAACGCACCCAGACAAACTGATGCAAAGGCAGAGAGACCATTGTTAACACAGGACACTTTGGGGCACAAAGGAGACTGCATCACCCATCTACGACTCCAATGGGCAAATTCAAAAAGTCTTACTTACCTGGTACGAAAATTAAAAAGAATATCTTACGTGCAGAGTGGGAAATAACCCAGGAAACTGAGACAGTGATTAATGGTGAAGGTTAGGGATATTGAACCCCAACTGGGGAAGCAAAATTATGCTATTTTGTCTCTCATCATGCTCCAATTGATCCCACTACTCATTAGGAAAGGAATAACTAATTTATTCCTTCTTAAACATGCATAAGTCAAGCAATGAACTAATTTAGGAAGAACACGGCATGCGCTTTGCCAACTGAGATGTGGAGAGACCTACTAGACAGTACTAATATTTAATATCCTTTCCAGAACCATTTAACACCTGCATCTTCTTGTTTTTGCTAAGAGATTGTGGGGAGGGAAGGTGATGTCAAAATAAGAGAGCTTTAAAAACACATCGGATGTTATAAAACTGTGTCAAGCTCCTTCTTTACCACCATGAATTATCTGCCATCCCAGTGACACCTTAGGTTACTTGGAATGCCTTGGGCAAAGATTCTATTCAGTACAAATAGTAAGTCTTTTAATGAGTGTCTATAGATACATGTATGCATTAATATATGTATAGTTTTAGAGACCTAACCACTGTGAAATTACACTAGGGCATAAGAATCAAAAGGCAAAAGGATCAACCCGAAGCAAAGAAAATGAAACAGAACATTCTCATTTAATTGAGTGTAACAAAGTGTGCTAAATAAACTTGGTAAAGAAATGCAAATCTGGCTCTTCCAGCATACAGCTTTAATTATTTAAGGGGTTGGTAGCAGAGTTAAGGATGCTTTAACTATATTAACTCTACACTGACAGCTTCCTTTAATTTCTCTGCAGGAATGTGCACTTATTTTGGATCATGGGTGAAGAGAAGCAGTTATAAATGCAAAAAAAAAAAAAATGTCAAGAGAGAAGCAAACACGCAATGCAGAAATTACCGTGTGAACCGTTAAATAAAGAACAATGTTTCATATCACAGTCCCACTCTTGACAGCTAACACTAGCAGAGAACACACAGAAAGTCAACATAAGGTTCCCTAGACATCTCGGCCTCCACAGGCTTGGTTTAGTTTTTCTTTCCTTTGCCCTTTTTTTAAAAAAAAGAAACACTCAGTTTAAACAATGCAATTGTAATGAGGGGAATAAAGACATCCCTATACAACCTGGTTGGTCTTGCATTTCTTTCACAGTAACCTTTTAATTTTATTTTATCTTTGACAGAGAAGAAGAAAAGCAAGCAAGAAAAAAAGCTTGAAAAAGACAGAAAGGAGGAAGGAGAGAGGGAGGGACTGTGAACTGGTTAACACTGTGGATCTAACTGGAAACCTAGAAGGAAAGTTTTCCTTCTGCAAAAAACTAATAGATTTTCCCCCATAAAGGTTAGAAATTAATAATGCTGTTACCATGGAGAAAATTCACTAATCCACTGAGATCTCACGAGTAACCTGGAAACCCTCCTGGTTATATCCAATGTTGATTTTTTTTTTCTTTTTTAATATATGAAAAGGTTTGGTATCTTCTTTTCCATTACTGAGACTCAATTACAATCAGTCTCAGTGGTTCTCATCTTATTGCTAGCTCCTGTCTTCTAAAAGCAGTTTACTCAGAGAAGGAATCGCCAAACTACCCCCTGCTGCAGCAGACTCTGCTCCCCTCTGCAAGTGGCAGGTGACATTCTATTCCTAGACCTAAACTTAAAATGCTCTCTAAAATGGAACCATGCACATTTACATTTAATCCACCCATCTGAATGAAAATTAAATAAATTAACCAACGAACTTTAAACATCTCAATAAATCCCATATTATATCTCTCTTTATTCTCCAGTTCTTACCCTAATAATAATAACAACCCCATTTCTTCCTTAGTAACTCAGTTAAGCTACGGACACAAGTACTGAATCAAAATCCTTTACGAGCCCATCCAAATTCATCAAAGGGACATCATAGCCATCATTTTGAATTTATTAAACAGCGAGTAGCACAGATATAAACCCTTTGCTAGAAACAGACCCCTATTCTATGAATCTACTCAATTTAAAGAAGCAAATCATCACGTGGCATGTAATTTGTTTCTCATCTGAGTTCTGTGTTGGGGCTATAACTTCCCAAGACTACTGGAACACCAGTCAATTTCTGAATGGCTGCAACTTCCTTCCCCACCCCACCACCTCCTCCAGAGAAACGATGACATGTCCAACAGAACTGACATGAAATAAAGGCCAAGGAAAAGACGAACAGAAGACAGAAAATAGGGAGAAAATGTGTCTTCTTCTTGTTGAGCTGAAATAAAATAATGAGTCAGAAGTACACAGAAACACCAAACTTGATGTCATCAAAGAGAAAAAAAATGTAGGCATTTGGGAGAAATACTGGGATGGATTTGAGGTAGAGGACTGGGGAAGAGGGAGGTTATACAGACGCAAACACAGGATTTATATACAACCCCTGACCCAGAAACACTGATGTCCTTTGATACCCACAGGACTAAGTACAAGAAGACCAGACGGTGTAGCATGTCAGAGCCGTGCCACAGGATAACATGACAAATGTCACCTGGGGGTCACAGGAAGACATTTCCACCCAAAGACATCCAGAGTTGAAAATAAAGACCTCTAGCAGAGGAGGCAGGTTGCAGTGAATATAATTAAAGTTGAGACAAATCTAGGGAGGCGACTATTTCCAAACTGGGCATTTGGTAAACACTTTGAAGAGTCAAGACAGACACACAGTTTCACTGTGAGAGCACATGCAAGGGAGATCCTGACTGCTACGGCATCATCTACCTCCTCACATGTGTGGAGACCCTCCTGCTACATTTCCTCTCCTAGTTAACTGCTTACTGCTTACTGTTTATGCTGCAGACTTCTCAAATGACCTAACATTTCCCCCAAGGCATCATGTCAAATATCCCAGCAAGTGAGTCTCTCACCAAGGCAATCTAAGCCCTAGAGCCAGATTCAAATATCAGAATGAGATTTGCGCATACATATGAGCACACCCAGGGGAAAACAAGATGACATGGGAAGATGAGAAGAAAACACAGCATCGTAAAATCCCAGAGCTGGACAAAACCTTAGGGGCCATTGGGTTCAATGCTTTACACAAAGCTTGAATCCCCTCCCTGCTCCCTGCCCAACTGACATAAATCTTCTCTGCAAGGTTCCCAGAGGAGAGCGCCTGAGCCCCTCCCCTCCCCAGGGCAGCCCCTTTGGTTTTTGATAGATCTCCTTGCTAGAAACTTTTGGATCCAGAGTCTGCACCTCTGAGAAAGCTGAGCACGGTCCAAAGAGACTTGGCCTGGAGCCTGAAGACTGAGTAACAATTTTGGCCGAGTTACTCACTTTGGACAAGTTATTTCATTCTTTGGTCTTGATTTTTTTCTCACTTGTAGAATGGGAATAATAATGCCTAAGCTGCTAAGCTGCTCTGAGGGTACAAATGGCGCAGCACTGGGCCTGGCACAGGGCACAGGCTCAGGAAGTCCAGATGCAGTGACGTCAGGGGCAAGCAGGCTCAGCCGCACAGCCGGGTTGTCTGGCTCTGAAGCCCAGGCCACATCCACGAACAGTGTGACACCACGCAAGGCGCTTGACTCCTGTGCCTTGGTTTCCTCATCCATAAAATGGGTATAAAAATAGTACCTATCGCTTAAGATTGCTGTGAGGATGAAAAGGGATAAAGTATTCAAACATGTAGAACGGTGTCTGGCACACAGGAGACAATAAATGTTAAGGTGTTTTTTGTTTTTGTTTTTACTAATGAGTATTTTTACTAGTATTAGTAAGTAGATCCTTTAGTTTCTCTGAGCTCCACCTCTCCTTCTAGGATGAGGAGGCAATAACAGCTACCACACCGGGGCCTTGTGAGAATTAAAGATCACATACACACCGCCGAGCACAGGGCGGGGCACATCAACCACAGTCAATAAACACTTCCTTCTCAATCCTCTTCTGAAATAACAGAGAATAGGAATCCAGTCCCTTTTGCATCTGCTAGTCCTTCAAATACTTGAGGACACGCATGATCACCCCCTGAAAGATTCTCTACTCGAGGAGCCACAGTTTCTTCTGCATTCCTCGTGTGGCAGGGGTTCACGTGCGCCCGGAGCCCCCATCCCCGCAGTGCCACCCGATTGGCCGGAATCCCTCCATCAGCAGCGGCAGAATGCCGGGGCCATGTGGTTCGTGGACCAGTGAACTGCTGATCAGAGACAGATGCTGGGCCGGCGACGGAGCGCCGTGCGGGGCTGTCGGGCAGACCTTCCTGGTGGCCGGAGCTCTCATCCTAAACCCGTTTCTAATTAAGTCTCCAGGTCTTGGGCTAAGCCTCAAATCTCGCTCTTGAAACTTGATTGTCAAATGTTTACATATCTCACTAAAAATTCAAACAAATAAACCACTCTCACTCATTCAGTCTTGGCCCATGGGTGTTTTTTACCCATAAAAAAATAATATCATAATATTATTGCTTCCACTCCGGAATCGTCTCCTGGCCCTGTGTGTGCTTTTTCCCCCAATAATAAATGCATACAGCGTTGCAAGTTCCATTGCTGGGTCTTCAGAAAAGCTGTTATCCTGCGGTTTGTTATGACATGGGTTTCTCCTTTTTTAAGGCCATGTGTGCAGTAAACGCCTTGTGTATACAATTAGCCTGATAATTCAGTGTCAGAAGAGAATATAACCTTTACAAAGCATTTTAAAGGGAGCTGTATGTATTTACCATTCCCCTTTCATTCGAAAAATCTCAATACATAACAATTAAAATTCTGTTTAAGGTCTGTCCACTCTAAAGAA